CAGTGGCACCAAAGTGAGGTCACTTCTGGTGGATTAATTGGTGGCTCCTAGAATCAAGTGTGCCACTAACTGAGACCTTTACACTCTCCACTTCTGCAGTCACCTCTACTGTCATGGTGAATCTTGAATTCCTGAGCTATCTTCCTTTGGTGAATTTTTTATTTACTTATTTATTTTTTGCTTTGTTTGCTGATTTGGTTACAAGGTCATCTTAATAAAGGAAATTGCACCCCTCCTGGGATGATAAATGACTTGTCTTTTTCTGGTAAATCCATTCTGGTGTAAGAACAATATTCTTCTGGTTTGAATACTCTTGGTTTCTACAGAATTTATGTTCTGCCTGATTGTGTGTGCCTGGTCTAATATTTTGATTGGTCTGTAGGTCTGGCTTAAAATTTTTTTGAGCATTCCTTTTTTGTTTCATTTGCTTTGGTTATGCATAGCTATAAATGATGTGGATCTTTTTTTTCCCTTGCTTATTTCTGAACATCTTCTGAAAGCAAAAATAAACATTCTAAATGGTAGGCATAAGATGGCCAATTAAAAGCCACTAGGGCTGGACTTGTGGCTCAGCCTGTAATCCCACGCCTTGGGAGGCTGAGGTGAGTGGATTGCCTGAGCCCACGGGTTCGAGACCCACCAAGGCAACTTTGTGAGACCTCATCTCTACAGTAAATAAAAAAATTAGCCAGGTGTGGTAGCGTGTGCCTGTAGTTCCAGCTACTTAGAAGGTTGAGGCGGAAGGATCATCAGAGCCCAGCAGGTCAAGGTTGCGGTGGCGGGGAGCGGCCACTGCACTCCAGTCTGGGTGACAGAGTGAGACTCCAACTCAAAAAAAAAAAAAAATTCTGTCTCTTATTCACAATCTACTCAAAGCTTTGTTCAAAAAAAATTACTCCATTTCCAAAAGCTGCACATACTGCTGGCTGTGGGAAGTATCTCATGCTTGAGCAGTTAGAAAAAAATAGACCTTTATTTATTTATCATTTGCTTACCAACTTACCTTCTCTTAGAAAACAATGATACCAAGTGGCATCACCCTATGTGTGCCCTTCCACAGGATGTTCTTGAAAGCCTGAGTCACCACCCCGCCTTTCTCCTCTACTAAGCTGTTGCTTCCTGTTACTTGTCTGGTGGTGCTGGGGGACAAGAGGGTGGTCACACCCCTAGGATGCAGAATGAAAAGGGAAAACTGCAAGATCTGCCTCTAAATGGTCCTGGCAACCCAACCACTTTGGGACACCCACCAGAACCACACTGGGCTCTGGGACAGCTAAAGTAAGGTTCAACTCCCAGATCCAACCCCATCATCATCAACACTTGAAGCAAACTCCAAAGATGTTATGCCTAGCTTATTCTAGATCTTGTCTAAAGTAGGGGGAAAAAAATCAACAGATGGTCATTTCCTGAAGGAACTCTTAGACCAAACCAAATGAAGAGGTTGTTTTAGATGGAGGGGTCTTTAGAAATACAAGAAAGCGTCTTATATTCGTAAACTCAAGAACTTCTACTGTTGAGGGGGAAGTACTTTTTTACTTCCCTAAAGCCCTGGACCACTAAACTGGATGTGGGATGGGCAGCAGACAAAGGAGTTCATGTGGACACTACAACAATTCCTGCAGGGACGCCCTCATCTGAAGAGGGGGCCAAACGTCCATACTAACAGAACAACTGGAAGGAGACTGAGGATGTCACAGAACTGAAAGCTCATCTCTAGCTCAGGGTTCCAGTTCCTACAGTGCATCCCAGAGGGCCGAGGTGTCACAGCCACCACCTGTTCCAGCCCAAGCACAACTAGTTCTGCCATCCCTTCTGTTGCCTCCCCAACAGCCACTAATTACTCTTGTTGACACAACTACCTATTTCTCATAGGAGTTTTAATTTTTTAAGCCCCATAAAGTCTAACAGAATACCTAAAAATTAGTTATCTTATTTACATCTGGATATTAGGATAATAAAAGCATGGAAATAAGAATTAAGTAGACAGTAAAACACAATGTTAACTTGCCAAATGATAGCATTTTAGGATTGGGATATCTTGTTTTCATCCAGATATCTATTTGTGATGTATGTGTATTTTAGGAACAGAGATGGAGAAAGCTGAAGATAAAATCCAGCATCTCGATTCCAGCCATCATTCGCAACTTGAACAGAAAATAAAATGGATCGCTCTATCCCTAGGCTGTAATCCTCAGAGACTGCTTTCAAACTGAATCTGAGAAGAGCAATAACAAGTTATGCATCTGTTCTTGGGCAAGTCACAAAAGTCTCTGGTACCTGTGTCAGCAACATTGTAAAAGGTATTGGTCCAGGACTGAGTAACTTCTAATTTTTCTATTACATTTAAACAGCTGAATTCTACTGAAATATATACAGAACAAAGATTATGCAGAACTGGCCACAGTTCTGCCAGCCATGTGCCAAAGACCGTGCTCCCACACCTGCTCCGTTTCTCAGAGGATCCCATTTGATCCCTTTCAAGCAGATAAGAACCTACTCCTGACACCAACTCAATCTTCGAGTTTGTAATATTCACTTCTTCTGTCCCCAAACAGCCCCATAACCAGACTCTTCCGGTCTTCCCTTTCCTAATACGTCAACGTAATCGCTTTCAAATTTGCCTTCTGGGAACCACTCGTGCTTATCCTGAAAGATGGGCAGAAAGTGCTCTCATCTCCCACCTTGCTACAATTATTTACAACACAGCAATCCTCAATCAGTGCCTATCGAAGTCACACAGATTCTGTCCTAATTCTCTAAGTTTTCCATTTAAACTAGAAAATATAACAAGGGCTAAGGTACTGAAGGTCATCATCACGAGATAAGGAAATGAGAAGGAAAATGCATGACTCTCTACTTTTACAATCAGGGAGGTCTCTTACAAGCCTACGCATAGAAACTAATTGCTGTGATATCTTCCACTATTGCTTTCTTTTATGGTTGTTCAGTTTTGGGTTCTATTTTTAAACAAGTATATTTAAACTAAAAAAAAAAAAAAAGAAAATAATAACTAAAATAATTATCCTTTTTACTATTTATTTACTTATTTTTTGAGTTGGAGTCTCACTCTGTTGCCCAGACTGGAGTGCAGTGACCGCTCCCGGCCACCGCAGCCTCGACCTGCTGGGCTCCAGCGATACTTCCACCTCAGCCTTCTGAGTAGCTGGAACTACAGGTGCGCACTACCACACCTGGCTCGTTTTGATTTATTGTAGAGATAAGGTCTCGCCAAGTTGCCCAGGCAGGTCTCGAACCTGCGGGCTCAGGCAATCCACTCACCTCGGCCTCCCAAGACACGGGATTACAGGCTGAGCCACCAAGCCCAGCTAATTATCCTTTTTAATAAACCCTCTCACAAAAGCCAGACTCTAGGCCCAAGGGATAAAGTGGGCACATGCTTGGGGCCTTGCTTGCAGCTTTTGTGTTAGTCTGTGGAGGGCTGGTGTGTGATGCTCCTGCCGTGTTCTGCATAGAACCTTCTGGAGCAACACTAAGCTGGATGACAGCACATACAGCTTTCATGTGCTACTTGTCCTAGAAACTCCAAAGATTTATACCGACTCCAAGACTCAAACCCATCCCATCCAGCTATACACCACAGCGCAGACTTCAAAATACACTGACTTCATCTCACTTTTATTAAAGTAAATCACACATAAACACAATGCATGTCTTACCTTAAGAATCTGTCCTCCTTCAGGGTATCTTCTCAAAATGTCCCTGAGAAAATCAACAAGTGGTGGAGTGGTTTGACCAAATCGACCTAAAACGTGGAACACACATTAAATGATTTGGAGAAATATGCCATGACCCACCACCAACGTGGGATCTGGTTCTAAGCCATAGCAAGACTACACAAGGCACAGCTGCAGACATGGCATTGCAGCACCCGGTGCAAAAACCCACCTGATGGATCAGGTGGAAGAAAGACAGGTGACACTGTTTATCACATCTCAAGAGTTTTAACTGTACTGCAAATTATGTTTCAAAAAGTGTTCTAAAGTACACTATCACAAAAGATCATTACTTCAAAAACAAAGAGCATGGCAGGGAAGTGGAGGGGGAATGTTGCTATATTCCAAAGCAAGTAAAATAAATGGTGCTGTTTAGTGGTTGTTTTGCCACTAAATAAGCCAGAGAGAATGGCCGGTGCTCACATTCTCAACATCCACAGACTCAGCCTGCATCCTGGCTGGCTGTTCTGACAGCAGTCACTGTCTCAACGGCTGTCCAGCTAGGTACTCTTAAGCCTCCCTAGACTAGATGTACTTATACCAGCTGATCAGGTCACCTTACAAGAGGCAAGAGGTGGCTAGAGGGAGAGTAAGGAGAGGGAAAAAATTCCTCAGATGCACAGGATTTCTTTAATTCGCAGGTAAGTAAGAAGAAACCTGTGCTTATAAAAACCAAACTATCATCTCAATATATTTGCATTATTTCATTCAAGATGTTCCTATAGACTTCTATCGACTCCTTCTAACTTAACTAGCTCCCTGCTTTGTCTCCTCTGGCCCTGACACCCCTCACTGCACCCCAATGCTATCTGCTTCATTTCACTTGCAAAACATCATCTTTCTAAAAACCGGTTAGTTGAGACATGATTGACACAGAAAAAGCTGCACCTTGATGCATCTGGCGGTGAGTATTTGCCATGAAACCATCCTCACCACCACCAGCACCATCAATGCATCCATCCCCTGCATAAGTGTCTTCCTGTCCTCTTCGATGTGGTAGTAAGATGTGTTGACCTTTTGTGGTAAGAGCACTTAATATATCTACCACCCTCTTAACAAATTTTTAAGTATACAACACAGTATTCTTAATCATGGGTCCTGCACGTACAGCACATCTCCAGATCTTATTGATTCTGTGCAACTTTGTGCCCTATGACCAAAACTCCCCATGTCTTCCTCCTTCTCCCTGACAACCACCATTCTACTCTCTGCTTCTTTGTGAAAAGTTTAATCTTTTTTCAACTAAACATGGCATATACTTCTAATAATGTCAATATTATACCTCCCCCTTTTAAGCCTTTTGATTGGAGGTTTACAAAAAGATGACAATTATCGGAAGTCAGATCTCCAATCTTGATCCAATCAGGCAACTGAAAAAAAGAAAAGAAAATGCATGAAAAGCAATATAATCCTTAATACTGCAAGTTCAAAACTTTACCTCCAATGTTTTTCATGTAAGAAGCAACACATATTAGCTATTCTTTCTGACCTTTCTTATCAGGAAGTAAATTGCTGTAGAGGAGGGAATATTCCAGAGAACAGAAATGTAGTCAAATGTTATTTAAAAGTTAAATGATTCTAAGGATTTTTCCTTTATGGTTCTAAGAATTTTTTTAATGGTTCTAAGCAATAGATAAAAATACACATATTTCTGCTTTAATATAACCCAAGTTTTTTAATGATGAATCAAGATTGTTAACATAAACAAAATCATTCTTTTGGTCAACATTTCTGACAGGGCTCCATGAGACCCCAGCAGATATAAGAGGACAAAAAAATTCTATTTTTAAATTCATTGGAATAAGTTGGTTCTTAGGACACTGAACATATTAACATATACATATATGGTAGTCTTTTTAGAAAGGGTTACCCTAAGTAGCAGGTCCCCATGTTAGCAGCATTTCCTTTATTTTCCAAGAGCATCCCTAGGACAGCATCACGTGACACACTTTGGAAAACACGGCTACAGATGAAGCCCCAACAAAAAGGCGTGACATGGAAGGAAGGGACAGAGGAGCCTTCCCGCCTCTGAGCTGCTCTCATCTCCAACTTTCCTGAAACCCACTTTCCAGAAAACTGCCTTAGTGTCTGCCTTCCTTGTGGTGACTTTTCTTTTTGTCATAAAGGCAGAGCACAACAGTATTACTGTGATCCACAGGAGCAGGGTAACAGAGTTACTTTTTTGAAAAAAAAAAGTAAATAATCCAAAGCCACATCCACCTTCTTCCCCTCATGGTTCATCCCTGAGTGTCCCCACGGAGTGACCTCTTACAGGTCAACAATCTGCAAAACATGATTCAACCACCCACCAGAAGGACCACCTTTCCAACTGGCACCCATCGACAGGGCATGAGGGACTTCCTTTACCATCTCAAAAATGCAACATTCCTGATGACCCATCGCACAATACCCTCCAAGCTGCCTGAGACTAAACCCATCAAAGGGCAGCCCCACTAGTGCTCCTTCCACAGGGATCTCCATCTTGATCAGGAGTCTCAGGGAACAGCATCACCTTCTACCGGGAACCTCCGGTGGAAAGGGCCAGGAGCAAATCTCTCTCTCCCCAAGCCACATATCCCCGGAATCTCTCAGCACCAGCAAGTTCACCCTCCAATCTCCCTCAAGTCTCATTTGCTCTGCCGCATTTCCAATCATACAGATACTCAACATCTCCTGGAAGACCGGTGCTCACAAAAAAATTCAGGCAAAATGCAAATTCTGTGACATATTAATGCAGTGGACTATTACACAGCAACGAAACACGCATTAACTGAACTGCACACAAATGTGGATGAATACTAACGTCCTATTGAGTAAAATAAACTAGCTCCAAGTTGCTACATACAGAATAATAAGCTTCTCATAAAGTTTACAACTACACATAAACAGTATATTGTTTGAGATATAGTTAGGCTATACACACACATACCCACATGCATACACAAACATAACACATATCTGTACACACCTATACAGACACACAGGCACACACTTACAGAACTAAAACCACCAAAAGGCAGCAGGGTGACAGCTCCAAGGGGATGGGAAGGGAGACTGAGGTGTGTGCTGGGGAGAGGAGACACAGAGGTCAACAGTGACTAAGTCCTTGTTCTCTGGTTGGATAACATCATCACAGGCGACCACCTGTTGTTAGTTAAATAGTAAAAGACAGCTGTGCATGAGCCAAGGATGACACGCCCAGTCAGTACAGCTATGGAACACTGAGAGGAAGAAGGCAGGAAGGAAGTCTTTAATGCAGGAAGAAGTTTCCAGGCCTTAAAGTAGATCTGAGGAAGAAGACATCTCCAGTCCCACACTGAGCAAACCACCTAGCAAAACTATGTCCGTACAGGCGGGTCGGTGGGTGTGGTGATCCTTGCCTTTGAACACTGTATCCTTTGATCACTGTGTCTGTGGCCTATCTACAAGGACATGACCCTCTGAATAAGCACCCAGCAGCTCTAGCCCCCTCGCAGTACGATCTCCTCCCTCCCTCTGCGCTGGTCAAGAGCTGGGCCTTTGGTCTGTGTCCCTTTCCGGATCCCAAATCACTCCAACAAGCAAGGTCACGTTGGTCCTATTCATCTCCGCAGGTGATCTTCAAAGTTGCCCATTTTTGTTTTCAAAACAGGATGATTATAAAGTAGCCTGGGTCTCTGCCTATGCCAACCTAACCTCCCTTACAACCTCAGAGATGCTCATCTTCGTCTATAAGGAACAGAAACTCTTTCCAAATTACTAAACAAGCAACAAGCCTTGGCCTCAGTCTGGATTCCCAACACACTTTCCTCATTCAGCTTTAGAGGACCCGGGAGATGCCCAGAGCTGGAGGTGGAGACGGGCCTTTGTGACCAATTCAAAGACAGAAAAGTCAAGTAATAATTTGGACTTCCTGGTGTGAGGCCTAAACACATCTGTCATGGACGTGAACGGCCCAGGAGGAGGCAAGCAGTCTCTTCAGGGACCAGAGGCAGAGGGAGGCATCATGACGTCCAGACCAGCTGAAGCCAGGGACTCAGAGAAAGAGCACGGTGGCACCTACAAAGACAGAAGCCCAGGCCTCCTGCGACATCCACACCAAGCAGCCAGCGAGGGACAAGAAGCTGTGGCAGCTGTCCTTCCTGCCCGTCCAAGGCATCTGAATTCTCACAATCCAACTTGGAAAGGCTCTGAGTGGTATGGCAAGTTACAAAGGAAAATAGAGTCCACCTCTGTGTAGGAACCTGTCTGATGGCACCGCCTGGCACGACAAGTCAGGTCAGTGGAGGTGAGCATAACCTCTCTGAGTCAGGAGAGAACCATCCCACAACTGAGCTTCTGAAGTTAATGTTAATGGTTTCAGTCTTTCCTCTGTCCTAAAGAGCTTTACATTCCACTTTTATTTGTCTCCGATTGACGCCCTGACAGAAGACGGAACAAGCCCATGGACAGGGCTCAGTTCAATGCTGGCCTGTCCCTTCATCCCTGTGATTCCTGGGCGCTCTCATGTGACCAGTGACAACTAACGTAGCACGCCTCTGACTGCTGAGAGGGCCCTCACGTGTGAACATGTCGCTGGCACGCAGTGGGTGGCCCGGCACCTGCTCCAGGACACACCCCCATCCCTGGACCCATGTCTGGAACACAGTGAGCTGTGGCACAAATGGTTACCACACTCCCAACACGTGTCCCAGACTTCAGCTTCAGCCACTTCCCAGGGGTGGGTCTCTAGCCCCAGACTTGAAACTGCCTGAAGAGTCGCGACCCAGTAGAGACTAGAACTGGCTAAAATTCGTGCTGTCCCGTCCTGTTAGGAATAGGAAAGCAGGCCTGACATGGGAATGACGCAGGCCTGTTACACACACACAGGCAGGACAGGAAGCAGGAGCTAGGGCACCCTCCCCTCCGGTTCCTGCGCTTCCCTAGATGATTCCTTATGTCTCACCAACACTAAGCACAGGGAGAAGCAAACTGATCACCACACTCCCCCAAGTCAGCTCCCTTGACCTTGTCTATCTATTTCCTCATCTGACGCAGGCTTGCCAACGTCTTCAGCAAGACCCTGCTACCTTAACTCTACATACAAGCCCATCGCTTTGACCCACCCCACATCCATTTGGTAACAAACTGCCACGAGTCTGCCCTTTACAAAGTCTCCTATCCTCACCTTTCAGTCTCACCTTGACTCAGTCTAACCCTCATGACCTCATACAGGACACAAATGTCCTACCTGGCCCCCTGTGGCCCACCAACCCAACCCCCCCAAAGCAGTCTTCATATACCGCCACACGCGCCATCCCACGTCCATGTTTTGCACAGCCACCTGCAAACATACTTCTAATGGCAAGACTGAGGCACAGCCGAGCCTTTGCGTGTGACTGCATGCAGGGGACAAGATGACAAAGTAGAACCATGCCCTCCCCTCCAAGCCAGGCTGAATCCACTCAAATCACGATGATGAGGTGACCTTCATGGGGGGGGGATATATCTCCACACCCTCATTAAAGCAGCTGGTACAAATGCTGAACCTTCTTAGCCTGGCCTGCTTGCCAAGGCCTCAGCCAAAGTCACCATCGGGAGGACGGGGGCTGGGGGCTACCTCCCCCTCCTCCAGCACCACCTAGCTGAGAAGGCAGTGGAGGCAAAGAAAGAACCTGAGAGTCTGATGAGGACGTGGGTTTAGTTTTTTACAACATGCTCTATAAAAAGAGAGCACTTTTAAAAAGTAAAAATAAAGTCCTCAATCAAGTCAATGTCTGTACTGCAGCAAACACATGGGGCCTGGCAAGGAGGACCACCCATTCCCGAAGGGGTACCAGCGCAGATGAAGCAGAAGCCGGTGTCAACCAGGCAGGGGACCAGACACCAGACCCAGGTGCACAGGTTGGGAATGCACTGAAGGATTAAGAATCTCACTAGCAAGCCTTCAACCGTAGTTGCAGGGGCAGCAAGGGGTCCAGTACTCCAAATGCCACCCATGCTGCTCAAGTTCTCCTCCGAGATCTGTTCAACTTTTTGACTACCAAATCCTGGAAATGATGTTCTTTATCATGCAAGGATATTCCATGGAATAAAAGAATTTGTTTTTTTAAAAAAGTAAACTGCCAGTAATGTCTTCAATCAAACTCTCCCTTTAAGAAAACTGCAGGGTTTTCACCAATCTTAAAGGAAACACATGACAAGGTGAAATATTCCTCTCTTCCAAAGTTTTGGCCTATCAAGCCACTCCTTTGCACATTAGAAGTTTTTATGTAAGTGTATGCCTTGAAACGCACAGGTTCTAGATTAAATCATGTCTGAAGATGCCTTCGGCCCTAAATTTCTGTGACTCAAAACCGGGGGGGACACTTCCCAGCCGAAAAGGGGGAAGCTATTTACCAGGATCCCAGTTAAATTTGCAACACGGAGAGAAAAACACGCGTGATGATTAAGTCCCTTCCACGACGATTAGAAAAGAAAACTCGCCGGGCTCCCATGCCCATCCGAAACTCATCTCAGCTCCAGAAAGCGAGCATGCAGACAAAACGGGGAAGGCACAGACGTCGCACGGGCAAGGCGTGAAGCGTCTCAGCGCGGGACCGGCACCGCAAGGACGCCCGCCCCGGCCTTCCTACCTCCCGGCCTCCGCGCCACAGCCGCTGCTCCGACTCCGGGAGGCCCGTCTCGGCGGAGATGCGCTGCTTCAGGTCGCGCGCCGTCCAGGTCGCCGGCGCCGCCACGGTCCTGCAGCCCACGCAGCCGGGGAGGACGGTCACCCGCACCCACCTGTGCCGGAGGAGGAGAGGGGCCTCAGCGGAGCCGCGCGCGCGGGGACCCCCCCG